GCAACAAAAAAAGCCCTAAATAAATCACTGAATGTAAAGACTCTCCAGTTTTGGCTGCTTTTACACGAAGATAAATGTGGAAAGCCAGTCTTGCAATTAAAGCAAATCCAAATGACTTCCTTCCATGCCTTCTTGCAGGTTCATTTGGGGTGAACCCTTGCTTTCCCCATCAGAACATCAGTGAGGCTGGTTACAAATAAACTTCAGCCCAGACCAACAGTGGTAAAAACCCCCTTACCACCGATAGCCTTTGCACGCAAGGGCCTAAGGCTTTTCCCAGCTATGGGCACTCTAGATCCCCCTGTCCCATGCGTGTGCACTTACTCCAGGTTTTCGTGCTGACAGGCGTGACCTGAGGCTCCCATAGCTCAATGCGAAGGAGCCTCTTGGGGAGCCTGGGCGAGCTGGTCCTTCTATTGTCTGTGTTGACTCCACTGCAGCTGGTCAGACACAGTTGCAGCAGAGCTGTGCCAGGGTCGTGGGGTTGCTGGGCACAGCAATCATCTGTCATGGGGAGATCTGGCTACAGATCACACTTGTGCAATGCTACCAAGCAGCTGAGCTAGGACCACCGGGTCCTTTCCCCTGCCAGCCTGCATTGGACTTAAAGGGAGCTGGATGGTCCCTTCATGTCGCCCAGCTGGTTAAAACTGCACTTCCCCGCAGGCTTCAACTTCCAGAGAGGTACTGATGAGTCATCAAAGGCAAAAGCAGACACCCTGCTGAGCTGGTAGTACAGTGATATGAAGAGGGACCAAACTCCCAGGGCAGCTGCGTTTCCTGCCATGGACCATCTTCTACACTGGTCTGTGGGGTAGAGCCCTGCCTGCTGTGCTGCAACTGAGCTCTTCAGCATGTTTCCCAACTGTGTCTGGAGTACAGAGTCCTGTCGGGATTGCAGGCAGAGCTACGTTTCATGCAGCACAGTAGAACAGGAGGAAACCTAACATTTACAGTTCCTAAAGTTGTCTTGACCCTACAGCCTTGATATTAACTTTCAAATAGAAGCAGACAATCCTGTATTTAAATCAGCTTCTTCTTTGACATTTGGAGAAAAAGGAAAATCCAAAAGTTTCGTTCATCATGTACGTAGCTAATTAGCATGAACATCCATGCTAGCACATCACTGTTGTGTTATTCAGCTCCTTCGCTCGTGAGCCAAATGCATGTATTCTGCATCTGATCACATGCAAGGACATGGGGAGCAATGTAACCAGTGAGCTTCTTTGTAAAGCCGTAGGAAGGGGCTTGACCCTCAAATAGTACTTCTGAGAACTGTACAGATGCAGCCAACTCAGGTTAGGAAAGGTCCATGCGCTCTACTCTTCTCCAGCCCTGCAGTACCCATGTGATCAGCTTTCCTTGCCTCGGCAACCCGACCCTTTCTTCACGTTTAGTCTCAAATGAATTGTGTTCAAAGGCATGGTGTTGCTCCCTTGGTATCTCTTTTTTCCTCACTTCTCTTCCCACATCTCCCAAGAGAAATCGTGAGCATGTTAAAATGCAATTTAAAAAAAAACAACTATAATTGCTATAATTTATTTAAACATACAAAATAAACACCTGGAATAATTAAAGCAGCTAGTATTTTTTTCAGCAAATTGAACAGAAGGAACTAGTTGCATCTCCATTTTCACATGATGCACAAGGACTTGTATTAGTAGCCGCAGTTAGATAATGCCTTTCAAAGGAAGCCCTGAAAAGACAAGGATCAGCAAGAAAGGTGTTAAAGTGCTTTCTGTTTAAGACATCATTAATGCCTGTAAAACACTGCTCACTGCTTTTGGCATTAGTGGCTTATCAACATGCACTACATGGATGGAGAAGTGCTCAGTAGTAATCTTTATGCATTTTTGTGTATGAGGGAGGAGTGAAGATGTCCCCTGGAAAACTTGTGATCCCGCAAATATATTTTGGACTTCTGTGCTTCAAAGAGTACCTGCTCAGAGCTCATGCCCGCTCCCTCCCTTTTCTGCCCTCTATCAACAGCCCTTGAACATTAAAGCAGATCCACTGCAATTTCAAAGCTGCAGCTTCAGTGCAGCCAAGTTGGGGATGAGGAAGATAATTAGCAAGTTAAATGTTCAATGCTTTAGTCAAATTATATCTAATAATATTGAGCAATAAGAAAACACGGTGGCAAGAACTGTTAACAGCTGGCTTTTTCATTATCAATACAGCATTGTTGTGCAAAGCACTTTCGGTTTAATGAAAGCACTGGGGGTTTCATGCCGTTTTTCAAGCCTATTTCTGTATTATGCTTTACCAGCCATTGGCTAGTAATTTGCAGGATTGCAAACGAGGTTTGAGTATTTTAGGAGCCAGTGGTTTTCAGGAATTGATGCTTTGCCTCTGCTTTATGACTATGACTCAAGTTCTGTTGGCTAACTAGCCCCCAAATTATCTGTGCATGCAGAGAAAGGCCTTGTTTATTGGTCTATTGGTGTCTTGATGAAAGCCTTGGGCTGCAGTTTCTAGCCAAGTATGAATAAAACACCGCAGGGATGCTCTTTCAGCCCTGAAGTTTAAAATATTAATGGGATATCTTTTTCACGACAAGCAATGCAACAGGTAGTGAGCACTTTGTTATAAAACATTTTCTCTTAGTGGAATCATATATTTTAATGGAAATGCAATGTCATTTGAATTATTAATATCAAAAAATGCCAGTCCACTGTGTGTCCACAGATATTGAAATCTTTTCAAATGCTCTGTTTTTTAGCTGCTCCAAGCTCTGTTAGATTGCACTCTCCTCCATAAATATTACATAAACCAGCACACCGGCTCTAATGTGGCAGCAAACCAGCATTTAGCGTAATAGGCAGCGCCAGAAAGTTGGTTGCAGGCTGCTCTGCTTAACACAAAGGGTCCCAGCCTCCACGTACAACCTGCTAGGTGCTGCTAACTGTGAACTAGTCTTTTCTCTCTCTGTTATGTTTGATGCCTCTCTCCTTCCCCTCAGGCCACTAGGTTAAAGTGAGAAACTCAAGGGGTAAACTGTGGGCCACACTGCTATTACAGAAGGTAATTCTACAGCCAGTAAAGGTGTTCAGGTTGCTCTGCGTGCACTCGGTTATCTTTTCTTTTCCTCCATGCTTTGTGCAGTGCCTCGTACAGGGGAGGGTAGATGAGCACTGGAGCACTGTGAGGCAGAAAAGAGCTGCTAGCACCCCGGATGGGGTGCAGTGCCTCTCGTGACACCTTCCCCCATTTACTCAGTTTTGCTTTTTTGGCACGGGGGACTGCACTATATTTCCTGGCCCTCTCGCCAACGTGGCAAGTGCTGACAAGGCAGGGCAGAGTGCCAGGTGGCTTCAAAAGAGCTTGAGGTGAGTATGGCACTTCTGAAACCCCTTGTCCTCCTCTCTGGCTAAATGTGGGGCTGGTTTATTGTTCTGCATCCATTAGGGGAACCTGCCTTGACCCCAGCCCTGCTGGCTCACTGCGTTTTGTGGAAGAGGCTTGTGCCTCTTTCCTGCATGCATTTTGACATTGAGAAGCAAGCAGCAGCTTTCCAGTTCCCTGAGTTCCCTTGGCGGCAAAGGGCTTCTGTGCAGAACAGTGCGCTAGGCTAGGTCAAGGATCAGTCCCACGAGCCTCACGCTGAACGTGTTTCTTCTGCTTGTGTTTCCATGAGCTGGAGCTGGCAGCCTGCAGAAATGAGAGGCTGCAATGATAAGGAAATGCATCAGCGTAAGCACCAAAACAAACTGCAGTCCCTGGGGATTCCCAAACTGCTTTGGTTGAAATCTGACTGTGGTAATACAGTGCACTTAACAAGAGCAAAATGCAGTGCGACTGGGGAGCTGGGAACGGAAATGAAGGCAGCTTGTATTTATGTGGCAGAGACCACAACCTTCTCCCAGGAGCCTTTTATCTCAGTTACAAACAGAGGATGAGGAGGGGAGAGAAAGGATGGAAAATAGAAGCTATTCATTCATATCAGACAGACTTCCTGACTGGAAATTGGAGCAGAATAGCTTTTTATACTGTTATAAAAAGTGGGATGTGTGGGGAGGGAATGGCCAAACACTGCTGACTTTAGGCACAGGTTGGCAGTTTGTCAGGAGCGCAGGACTGTGTTTTGTTCCACTGCTTGGAGGAGGTTTTGGTCGCCTCCCGCCCTGCACAGGGAGAGTGATGCCAGCCGTGAGTCCCTCAGCATTGTACTCTGTCTCTGGCAGTCATGTATCTCTTCGTGTTTGTGCGTGTGTCGCTCCAGCAGAGATGATTTGCAAGGAGGGAGAAATTCCCTTCCAATGGCTTAGAAGGGGTCTTGTTTGGCTACTTTACAGTAGCCAAAACGACCTGATGACTAAAATACACTTGTTTGCTTCTTTCTGTTAGAAACTTGGGAACTCTCATGTTTAGTCTCTCCCACATTGTCAGAAGGTTCAGCAGAAGCAAGTAGTCTGAGATGTCCACGTGTGAGGTTGGAAGGCAGGAGATGTGCGGCTGCAGCTCTCGCAGGTGCTTATATGGTCTGGTTGTCTTAGGCTTCCTGCACAAGACATCTGCAATAGGCAGGTAGGGCTGCCAGCCTCAAGTGTCTGAAAAGCATCCATCAGTGCAGAGCATGATGGGAGGGCAGACACCCGCTCTCTTCTCCCACAGCTGGTGATCTCCATGGCAAGACTGTAGAGCCAGGCCCCAATGGCTCCCCCATTCTGTTGCATTTCACTGCCCGCATTGGGTTGGCATTGGGCAGAGCGATAGGAAAACGCGAGTTTTAGGGAAATGCACATTCTGGTGCCTTGTTCTTCTCACCAAAGCTTTAGCTCTCCACACTGGCACCTGCCAGCATGAGAAGAAGCTGTCAAGAAGCCCAAGTGCCTTTGCCCAAAGTTATTAAAGTTTTTGCTCCCTTAGGTAGTGTGTTTGGTGACAAATGGTCTCATTTATTAATGACTGACTGGTTACAGACCTCTGACTTTGCTGATCTTGCACTTTTGTCTTTAATGCCTTTTTTTCTCTCTCCTCTCCCATTTCTGTACTCACAGCAAACCCTGGAGACGAATCTCACCAACCTGGTTAAACGTAACAGTGAACTGGAAAATCAGATGGCCAAGCTGATACAGATCTGCCAGCAAGTGGAGGTTGGTGAGAGCACTGCTTTCTGGGGAAAGGAGCGGTGGGTGTGACAGGGAAACTGTTGGTGTACTAGGAGTCTCCAGGATTGTCTAATCCCTTCTAGCTAACACTCTCAGTCAGGGAGATGTTACAAGACAGGATGTTAGAAGATGGCCAGGGAATCATAATGGGAGTAACAGTAGCCATGCCACATCGCTGTGGAGAGATGCGTGGGAGAGCTCCCACATCCTTTCTTTGGAGGCTGCTCTAGAAGCAGAAATATGTGTACAGTGAGAGGAGGAGGAGATCACTGACACCAGCAGGTTGGCTAGAAAATGATACCCCCCCACCCCTGCAATGAGGACTGCACCCAAAAGCCACCTCTCCCATGTGGGGAGGTGGCTGGTGTGCAAAGGGACGAAGAGTGGGATGCGAGCCCACGAGGTCTGCTGCAGCAATGTTGTGAGAGAGACACTGAAGGATGCTGCAAGCATGGGGTGAACAGCAAACTACAAACCCGTAGCGCTGCAGTGAGGTTCTCTGCTTTCCGCTGGCAGTCCATCTGCACTTTCCACTTATAACTTGCTGACTTATCAGAAAGGCTGTTCACCTGGTGCTGGGGGTTTGTCGAGGCTGAACTGGTTTAGAGCATTTAGTCCCAAATGGCTGAGGATTCAGGGCTGATCCCTGGAGATCTATAGGATCTGAAGGAGAAGGAAGGAAGCAGTGTGACTGGGAGCCACTGGGAACGGATATATTGGCTTCTGGGGTAGCTCAGGAAAGAGGTGAAAGGGCAAGCAAGGGCTGGCCTTGCTATGAGCTGTCCTGCTCCCTCTAGCAAACAGGTCTGCCAAGGCTGTGAAGGCTCCAGACCTGCTAACTGCTCTACATCCAGCACCCAGCATAGCTTTAGGAGTGTGCTTTTTGTTAAAGCATGGGTGACACTGCGCATACAATCACAGGCCACCCGCTCTGCAAGGTGGAGCACTCTGCTATTAGAGAGGGTAGAAACTGAGTTGCCCATTTTCTAACTGCCTTCTGGGATCAGGTGCAGTTTTTCCTTAAGGTCCTCTTTCGTTTGGTGCACAGGTGGGAGCCATCAGGGAGGCAGATTAGGCTTAAGTAATGAGGAAAACTCCTCTGCAGCTGGAAGGAATTAGTGAAAGTTTCCTTTTGGACATGCAGCATGCTATAGCCAGCACTATGCCTTGAAAAATCAGAGCCTGGGCATCTCCAGCTGGGCCCCCAGAAACAACAAGTACCTTTGACTATGATCTTTCCCTGCCTCAGATTTCCTATGAAAATCTGAGGTAATTACACCTCCTCCTTCTCATCTGGGGGTGCTGTTAAAGTAAATTAGTTAATATTTGTAGAGCACTTGGATGTCACAGTGGCGAGTGCTCCAGGAAAGCCTGGAAGGAAATTACTGATTCTGCCTGCAGAACAGAATTTGAGCAGTACGCACCAGAGAAGGCTTGGGGCCACCCTCCGAACAGTGAAGAGCTAAGATATCAAGGAGCTGTTTGTGAAGCAGGACCCGTCTGTCCTCCTGACTGACTGAAGTGGGGAGTCTCACATGCATGTGGTCATATAATTAAATTAATTAAAGTTAAAGTTTGTGTCAAAAATGCATCTGCCCAAGCATGTGTGGGAGCTTTTACAGTGGTAATTCTCAGCTTCAGGGTGCTTGAACTTTATTAATTTTCTTTTAATCATGTCCTTTTGTGAAGGAGAGGATGGGAGGTGTGAAAGAGGAGCCAGACACACTGAAAAAGAAGAGGAAGGTTGATAACATGCAGCCTGATGGAGAAGACGAAGGGAAGTGATAGCTGCAGGTGCTAGAAAGGAAGCGATATAAAACACACAGTCATTAAATGGGTGGGATGTGATCTGGAACAGTGGTCAGGGGTTTATGTGAGACATGTTGCAGATGTATCTGGTCCCCATCTCAAGAGCAAAGCCAAATAGGTAGTGACAGTCTGGAATTCAGAAAGGGATAGAGGTACAACGGAGGCAGCACCGCTGGGAGTGTCCGGGGTGGGATAAGTGCAGATGGGACAATCCTTTCCTCGGGCAGGCTGGGCTGGGACATGCACTTTCCAAGGACTGGACGCGATCGCTCCATGTCAGCACCTGTCGCTAGGCACGTTGTCACATTCATGACAGATATCTGTCCCACCCAATCCTGAATGTTCGACAGAGATGCTGCACTCTTCCCATGGGATCTGGCACTTCACACTCCTTTGGGCCAGGAAGCTTTTTTTAACCAAAGTCCAATTGAATCTTTTTTGCTGCAGTTTAAGCCAGTAGCTCTCTGTCATGTCTTGTCCTATCCACCATGGACACAGGGAAAGGGATATTTTACTCATCCCTCCAGCAGCCTGTGATGTACTTGCAGACAGCCCATTCCCTCTTCTCTTATTTACACTGAGATAGTTTGATATTTTTTTTCCAGGTTTGTGCATTGGTATTGTTTTTAATTTCTCTGTCATCTAGACTATTCCCTTTTTGTCCACATCTTCCTTGAAATGCATTGCTCTGAACTAGTGCAGTTCTCCAGCCAGTGGAGTGGAAATGCAGTGCTCTACTCTTCTACCAGTGCTCTGAAGAAAGAGGAAAGGGATATTTCGTCTTTCTGTGGGATGTAATCCTATATCTATATCACAGAGCAGGCTGCCGTTTTCGTACCTGCTGTCTCACACTTAGCTTCTGAGCCATCCTGCCTCAGACCTTTCTCTGCAGGCTGTTGTCTAGCTGATGTTCTTTAGCTGGGGTTTGGATGAATGGTTATTTTTCAGCAAGTATGGTGCCTTGTGCTTGTATTTATCAAACCTCATGCTGATTTTTAAAGCCACTTTCTGATCTTCAATCCATTCTCAATTGAAGTCCCATCCTCATCCTTACAGACCCTCCTAGCTTGGTGGCTGCATGGATTGAAGAAGCAAACTCTGTATCTTGTTTTCCAAGCCACTGATGAAAGTAGCGGATAGGACCAGCCCCGGAACAGGAAGCTGTAAAAAACTATTTGATCCAACTTTGCATACAAGGTGGGATGTGGTTTGTTAGCCTGGCTCTGCCAGCCTCTAGGAGGTATCCTGGAAGGTATCTGTAGTATGCCAGGCAGGCTGCTCAGTCTGGCCATCCCCACACTATGCAGCACCCACTCTGCATCCTGCCACTGCGGGTAACCCAGCCCAGAACTGGATGCACGCATCCAGCACTTTATCAGTGAGTCTGGGATAAGTAGGTGACCAGCCTGACAGGTCCTCTTATTTACCACCTCTCCAAGGCAGTCTCTCAACTGTTAGGTAAAGCACATCATCAGCCCTCCTTCCTCTCCCTCTTCCCTGCTTTCCTAGTATGCAGGGATGCACCCCACCCAGGAGGTGACTTCTGACAGGTGCCATCCTGCAGAAGATGCTCCAAGAAAGGCAGCCTGCTCTCTGCCCTGCTGCCCCTGGCCAGGGATGGAGCCAGCCTTCCACAGTTGAGTGTGCAAAGGACACCTGTACCTCTGCAAGACCTGCTCTCCCTTTGGAAACAGGAGTGCAGGTGAGGACCAAGACCCCAGTAAGTCCCAGACTCTGAAGCCTAAGGAGGATGGGCAGTGTGAGGGGAGTGACTCCCTCAGTTCAGACTGGGAAATCACTGCCAGTATTGTCTCCATCCTTGCCCGAATAACAACTTCACTTTACTGGGAAAAACTGGTCCCAGGTTTTTCTCCTGTTCTGGAATGGCTAGCCTTCTTCCCTGCTTTTTCCTTCCTCCTCCAAAATATACAGAGTTTGCCTCCCTGCATCCTTCCTGCTATCAGAGAGACTGAGATGGCAATCTCTCCTGCACCAGCATCTGCTTGCTATAGCAGAACAGCGGCATTCAGACTTAAGCCAGTAGCAAGTGGGAAAGGGTTTGTGTTGGGGATTACAGGTTGTGTTCATGCTCGATCTATAAAACTCTTTGTGTTCATGCTCGATCTATAAAACTCTTTGTGTTCATGCTCGATCTATAAAACTCTTTGTGTTCATGCTCGATCTATAAAACTCTTTGTGTTCATGATGTGCAATCAGGCATCTTTTGTTTGCATTTCCAAGGGAAATGTTTGTGTGAGCTGTGCGCTGCGTGAGCCTGTGCCAGCAGATTGACGCTGCCTCTTGGCGGTCGCTCCAGAGTCAGGAGTTCATAACGATGAGCTCTCATGAAAAACATTTGAGAGGAAGAAGGCGGTTAATAGCTTAGTATTGTTTCAAAGTGCATAACAATTAATAGCAAATTAATTTGCAGCTTTGTTTACTGAGGTGATAAATGGAGGGAGGTTATTGCAATTAGTTCCTTATTAATGGGCTACTGATTTTCAGTTACTCTATTAAACAGCTGTTCCTTGAACCAGCACCTTTCCAGAGAATGAAGACACCAGTCTACTCCAGGGTTTGCTGACATGGAAGCAAGGACTTTTTCCCAGAACTTGAACAGTAACTTGAAAGTTATTTGCTTAGCAGCACTATTTAATTTGAGGGCTGAGCCCTCAGTAATTCCAGAGGGTGAGGGAGGGATGCTAAGTCCCGATTCCCTGTACCTTTCTGCACAAGGTTCCCCCAAGCTGCCTCATGTGCAAAGCAATCGGCAGTGATGCAGCACACACGGGCTTGAATCGGTCTTCTGTGGTGAAGCGCATGGAGAAGCTTCTGTACTGGGGAGCTGCCTCTTGGTCTTCACTATCTGCATCTTAGAAAGGGATTGGTGCTCTTGAGCCAATAATATTTTCTAACCCCTAGCTCTCCCACAGGCAGCATCAGCATTTTGCTCTTCTGGCACTACATAAAGTCCTTTTTTCTGACCCTGTCCTGCTGATCTGGAGAGAGAAAAAGAGAGCAACCCACGTTACTTGGTTAGGAGCTCTTCATCTCACCAAAAGCCCTTTCCAAAAGTGCGGACAGTGCTGTGAGCCTGTGCGTTCCTGGCTCAAAGCATCCACAGCTCTGAGTCGCCAGAAGAGCTATCTGCACTGACAATGACAGCAAGCCACTGT